GGGAAAAATGGGGGCACTTTAAATGGGGAAACCATGGTGGAAGGGTTAGATAATTCGAGATAAATAATGCCTAGCTAGTTTTTTTTTTTTTAAAAAAGAGGGAACCATATTAATTGAACAACCTACTGACAAATTATACATACAACTACCTCAAGGAATGTAGCACATGTCTAGGCAAGGTTTATCTGAGAACAATTGGTCTTTGCCCAAGCTTCATCTACATGGCACATGGTAATTTAAAGTACCAGACTGGTGGAACTAACCTTCTTGGATGTCTAACAGCCATACTTTGAAGCCTATAGTAATTTGGTCAGTGGGATATAAAGGACAGTTTTTGCTCCTTGCCCTCCTATGTCAACTAAGCTCCAGGGGACTATGAGCATTTCTCAAAATGTCCTGTAACGGTGGTACGTCACCTGTCCTCTTGATCAAGGAGGCCACAGAGACCCCACCAAACGGATTTGAACCAGCATCTAGTCTACAAAGAGGAGGGTCAACACAGAGGAAACATTTCCCCCATGCTTCTAAGTGAAGCCAGCCATCGTTGAGCAGGACCTTTGACTTATCTTCACGTAGATGGAACTAGTAAAAGAAAGGACCCAGGGACTTCTCCCAAGTCCATGTGACCCCTGAGGAACAGATCCTCAAACGACCTTAAGAGTAAAAATAAATTGGTTTATCTGGGCTAACTGTATGGCCTTAAACACCCAAAAGGAAAGTATAACCAAAGATTAAAGGGATCAATATAATTCTTTAAGAGTCCATGTGTATAGCTAGAGGCTACATAACAAGAAACAATGCCAGACAGGAGATACCTTCCTTTGAGTTGTTGGCCAAGAGACTTGCAGACAGTTACCCAGCATAGAACTGGGAAAATGAACAGCAGATCCCAATCTTATCTAAAGCAATATTGGCAACTGATTGCTTCTAGATGAGGAAGAGCCGATCTTCCTAAAACAAGGAACTCTAGATAGGCTGACCAGATTCAGTGAATGGACAAGCACTGGAGAATGGCTGGGGGTGCCAGCAACATAGTGGACAGTAACAGGGATGACAGAGACTATGGGAGGGTACCATTTGGGATATGGGTATATAGATGAATAAGGTTGTTTGTTGCTGGACGTGGTGGCGCATGCCTTTAATCCCAGCACTCGGGAGGCAGAGGCAGGCAGATCTCTGTGAGTCCAAAACCAGCCCGGTCTACTTAGTGAGTTCCAGGACAGCTAGGGTTACAGGGAGACCCTGTCTCAAGAAGACCAAAAAAAGAAAAAAAGATTGTGATGACATACACACAAAAAATCAACAAATTTTAAAAAATGAGCCACAGTTGAGGAAGAAGCATAAAAATTTGCTTCATGTTAATTAGTAGAGTAATACCATTGAAATCTACCTAATGACTTTATATCCATGCTCAGGTGCCAAGGATCTCAGAAAGTAACTGACTGTGACTAGTAATAATCAGATACATACAGATTAGAGATGCACGTGCAAACATCTAAGTGTTAGTAGCATTAAAAATGAGTTTTTCTGTATGAAAGTGTATTTTAAAACGAAATGGAGATCTTTTTTAAAGGTTAAAAACCTCACTCAATTTTATATCTTATAGCATTTATTCTGAGTTCAGTATTGTATAACTATTGTTTCAACTGTGAACCCAAAAATTTACAGCCAATTTTGAAAGAGATGTATCTTTCCTCTGGAAATTGTTATTGAATATGTCAATGCTGTAATGGAATGCTTCTTCTAATCATGTGGTTATCAAATAAATAATTTTAAAAGCTTAAAGCACTAGAGAAAGAGAGAGAGAGAGAGAGAGAGAGAGAGAGAGAGAGAGAGACCCCTCAGTTGCCTTTATAGGGTGCCATGATAAAATACCATAAACAGAATGACTTAATCAACAGAAATAGATTTTCTTATCCTTCTAAAGTCCAGAATCCCAGATAATGGTGCCATCAAGGTTGGGTTGTGAGGGTGGGTAGCTTCTCACTGTGTCCTTATTTAGCCCTTCTCCCATGCATGCCCGGAGAGACTCTGGTGCCTCTTTCTCTCCTTGTAAAGATTCTACCCTTACTAGATGAGGGCTCCGCCCTTATGACCTAATTTAACCTAATTACCTCCCTAAAGGCCCTGTCTCTAAATATAGACACATTGTGGATCAGGACATCAGCATTCGAATCTGATGGGGGAACAGTTTAGCCTATCACTGGGGGAGGATGACCTGGGAACCAAAAGTCCCAAATATTCATAGAGGCAACATCTGAACAGTGGAATTGTCTGCCATCATGAAGGGTACTGTCCCCTTTATATGTGTGCATGTATTCTATCCTTTTTTCGAACTTTTTGTTGTGAGCATGTTCTGCTTTATAATTGTGATTTGAGCAGCAAGACCCATCTCACTGCCTTTTCTTGGGAGATGTTTCTCTGGGCTCTGTTGCTCTGGGGATGATAGTCTCCTAATCTTGATCTCCACCCCCGGCAACCCCATCAGGATTGCTATAGCCAGGTAAGTACAGGAGCCTTGAAAAAACTTAGGCAGGGCTTTACAGGATGTGATGTCTGTGGATAACATATCTTAGGCCTGGAGATGGAAAGGGGTGCATCAAGACCACAGAGCAGTAGGGGTGGAGCAGGGCTAGAGCTCATGCTCCCAGCACCACCTGCCCCCTACACACAGGCTTAAGGGAATCTTTCTTTGAGGAAATCTTTGATCCTCACCTAATGGGAATTGATGTGCTTGAGTTCGGAACCATGTCCACTTTTGTGCGTGTGCTTGTGTGTGGAGTACACTTGCTTTTCTTCTTTCCCTCCACCAGATCGCAGTCCTGGCTACTTTCTCTTCTCCTCTGTGCCTGAAACTACCATTTATCTCCTCTCTCAAGTTTCTTGGAATACTTCTTCATTCCTCTCAAGCAGTTCAGATGAATGCACAGTTGTCATGTATTCTAGAGACCCATCGTGACCTGGTCCTTGGTAACTGCATAGGAATTGTATGAGTGCCCCCACCCCACCCCACCCCCAGCTGGAGGAAGAACACTGACAGGAGTCTGCCCCTGAATTCTGGTCCTGTCTCTGTTTCAAGCTCATAACCTCAGACAATTCTGCCTTTTCTCTGGACTTCACTTTATTCATCTGGAAAAGGATGGCTTTAATCAGTCCTCTGGAATCTTCCAGATGTGACATGTTAAATTCAGACAGCAATCAATATTCTCAGGGTTCTTTGAAATTCCTCGTCTTTGACATCTTCTTACAAGAGTGTGATGCCCACCTTTTTGTCCTGTGAGGCAGTACAATGTGTTGGTTAGAAGTGGCCTCTGGAGCCAGATAGAAGGCTCAAAGTCAGACTCTTCTACTTGCAGGTGGTATGACCTTGGTAAGCTACTTGGCATCTCTGTTGCAGCTTTTATAAAATGGGCTTATTAATATTAACCTCCTAGGGCCATGGTGAATATGTAATGAGATAATGTATAAAAATACTCAGGTTGGCTGGCAGCTGACCAACAACATGCAGAGAATAAGAGGCTGCAGAGTGCTTATCCCTGAATAGGACACCTATATCAAACTTCTGCCTCCCAAGGCTCAGGGATCATTGTGGAAGAGGGGACAGAAAGACTGTAAGAGCCAGAGGAGGTGAATAACCACCAGAAACAACAAAGTTTTCCAGACAGCTGGTCAGCTACTCATATGAACTCACAGCAATGCTGTCAGCAGGCAGAAGTCCCATGCAAGCTCAAGCCAGACAAAGTCCCAGCACAGACATGGGGAAATGGGTAAGAAACCATAACCCTGCCTGAAGAACTTTTGAAAACTGATGGCTGCTGGAAGGAGAGAGTCAGTTCTCATTAAGGGTGGAGAAGATGAGTCGTGCCTGATTTTCCCAGAAGGTTGCACATGAACATCTCCTCAGCCTGCTGGGGTTCCTGCATTTGAAATGCATATTTTTTAGTATACTATGGCCCTCCACATGAGCTGCTGACCCCTGGCACTCAACCATAGACAAAATGATCTTGTCTCAGTGCTGGAGAAACTACTGTCTGCATTGGCTCCTGTGAGAGATACTGAGCATTAGACTTTGGATGGTTAAAGGGTTTTCTATAGATCACTTTATATTCTATATTATGACTTTATTATTAGATTCTGACTTAGCATCTTACTGGGCTGGTTCCCCCAGTGAGGAATGTGGACTCTCATGTCACAGTAAGAGCACCGGAGACCCAGAGGAGCAAAAGTGAGGCATTTTATCTTATGACTTTGTAAAAGCAGGTACCAGTCCAGAACTTCAAGGACACTGACTGACTGCAAAGAAAAGCTTTTATAGCCCTAAGTGCAGATCCCTTCCTCTCTTCCCTATTGACTGAGTAATCAGGAGGGCACAGTCTCACACATCATCTAGGGCCGATATTTTCCCTGCCACTTAAACTTGTCTTTTTCTTAACTAAAACCATGTGTGAATTTATATCTATATTTTATGTCCTATTTATTTTAAAGCCTATCAGGAACATGATTTTGTCATATCTGTAGGATGTTAGGCAAGCTTGACTTAGCAATCTTCTATTCTAAGCTTCTAGTTTGGGAGTGTGTAGGGGTAGCTAAACTAGCAGAATCTTAACAGGGGTTCAGTGTTTTCTGTTCATCTGTAGCTGGACCCCAAGGTGACTGAAGGCATCTTTGAAAATAGACCTTTTTTATTCCTTATACCACCAACAAGATATAGAAGGTGTGACTTCCAAGGACTAGTATGCTGCTCTGTTCTCACTGTGCCCTCACGCCATAGACCCAGAGTCTGACTGGAACCTTTTCTGCTCTATGGCTGATAGCTTGTGATAAACAGAGTTCGGACGGACGTCGTTTCCTTCTTTCCACCGAAGATAAGTGCTACAGCAACCTAGTGCCTCACAGGGAGCTCTGGGCTTCAGGTGGTACCAACCCGGAATGTGTCAGTTATTGATAGCCAGTGTTAATCGTAAATGCTCCTGTGACGGGTTTTCTCTTTCTTACTGCAGTTAGTCACCACAGAAAGCCTCTTCCTTAAGAACAGCTTGTACAATGAAGGAATCCTAATCGTATGGGATCCATCTGTGTACCATGCAGGTATCCCAAAGGTAAGTGGGTGTGTCCACAAGCAGGTTGGCGTCCCTGTTTGACCTTAGCTTTTACCATGTTCCTAGATTTTTAGGGTCACATCTGAACTGAGCCATTCCTGGTTGTTTGGGTTTTAGACTAAAGGATTGAGAATTCCTCCTGTCCTAACCAGCATCTCTCCTTGTCTGCCCTGAAAGGCCATGCATGTGTCTATTGTAGTGGCATGTGCAGAGAGTGGTAATGGCTGGATCAGTAGTGATCTGGGCTAATGTGTTCATCAGTCAAATTATTCCTGATGAACCTCAGCAGGAGTAGACAATAGTTACTGTTACTCCTGTGAATAATCTTGTCACACTTCTGTTTCATACTTCTAATTTCTAGAATTCTTCTCATTTCACTCTCAAATACTCTCAGAATGGAGGCATGGCTACTCCCATTTCACAGATGGGGAAAGTGGAATGTAGATAGAGGAAGTCACCTGTCCCAAGGCTTCCTAAGCATAGGACACAGATCTACAGTATCAACTCTTTTAGGGAAGGAAGCATAATCCATAGGCCTGCTACATTCTCAGACCCTCTGGAACAGCCCTCTAACTGTTACATATGTGGGTTGGCCTCTTCTTGTCTCGGGACAGTGTCTTTAAAGAGTCAGGGCAGAAAGCACTCTTCTTGGGGCTGGAGAGATGGCTCAGCAGTTAAGAACACTGGTTGCTCTTGCATGGTGGCTAACAACCATCCTAACTCCAGCTCCAGGGGAATCCAATCCACCCTCTTCTGACCTCTGTGGGCATTCATGAGTGTACCTACACATATGCAGGCAATACACTCGTACACATAAAAATTCTAAAAATTAATAAATAAGCCAGGTACGGTGGTGTACACCTTTAGTCCCAGCACTCGGGAGGCAGAGGCAGGCAGATCTCTGTGAGTTCAAGGCCATCCTGGTCTATGAAGTGAGTTCCAGGCCATCTGGGATTACAGGGAGGCCCTATCTCAGAAAGACCAAAAATAATTAATAATAATAATAATAATAATAAAGTATGTTTTTTAAAAGGAAGCGCTGTTCTTGGGGCACTTGGTTTTTAAATGGACCCAATAACAGCTGATGGGCTCTGGGGATCCCTGGTTGGTCCCTTCTTTAGTCTCTAAAATTTCACATTGATCTCATGTGGAACCCAACTCTGTTTGATCATAAGGACTCTGGGCCCATAGATGTGACAACTTGTACTCAGGCTTCTCTTCTTTGACAGTAAGAGTAGCTAGGTACGGTGGGCCAAGTTACTTGGGAAGCTGAAGCAGGAAGATCACTTTCGCCAAGAGTTCAAGCCTTCACAACATGGTGAAACTCTGCTTTATTTTATTTTATTTTATTTTTTAAAGTAAATAGTTGGGGGTACCTCATGCCTTTAATTCCAGCACTCAGGAGGCAGAGGCAGACTCTGTCTAGGCCAGCCTGGTCTACATAGAGAGTTCCAGGCCAGCCAGGGCTACATAGTGACACCCTGCCTCTAAAACAAAACAGCAATAATCACAAAAAAGTAAATAAAAGATGATGTTAGATGGTGCCTAAACCACTTTTTGCTGATACCATTCCCAGTCTTTTTTTAATGTCTTTTAAGAAATATTTTTATGAGTATATGAGTGTGTTGCCTGCATGTGTATAAGTGCACCCATGTCGTGTAATGCCATGGAAGTCAGAAGAGGGTGTCAGATCCCCAGAACTGGAGCTACGGACAGTTGTTGGCTGCCATGTGGGTGCTGGGAATCGAACCGGGGTCCTCTGCAAGAGCCATCTCTCCAGCCCCCATTCCCAGTCTTGATGGCTCTCAAATCTGAGGCTTTTCCAAGGCTATAAGCCCAGTATTCCTGTAGGCACAGACTGTGTCCCAGACCCTACCATTCTATTCAGTAAAAGCTGTGATTTGAAGAAGGACTGCAACCTGCTACCAGAAAAGAACAACTGTGTGTAAGGAGCACATTTCCCTCCTTGAAGATCACTCTCCTCTTTTTCAGTGGTATGAGAACCCTGACTACAATTTCTTTAGTAAGTATAAGAGTTACCGCAAGATGCATCCCAGCCAGCCCTTTTACATCCTCAAGCCTCAGATGCCTTGGGAACTGTGGGACATCATTCAGGAAATCGCTCCAGAGAATATTCAGCCAAATCCTCCCTCCTCTGGGATGCTTGGTGAGTTCATGTCTGAGAAATCCTTTTGCATTTCCTTCTAAGAAAGATTGTTGTGTTTCTTTGTGGGGAGTGGGGAGGTCCTCATTCATTATTCACCAAAACCACTGCTAAGACTTTTCTGTCCTTGTATACTGTACCAAGTTCTTTGTAAACTATGGAAGTGTAAGATACAGTTCTTATTCTAAGGATGGCTGCTGAGGGAATTCAGACATCTGAGACCACATTCAGTTTGTGCCTCAACTGAAGTGAGTGTACCATCACTGTCCTTGATGTCATAGGTGAACCCTTTCTAGATAGGCAGAGATAGCTCTGTGGAGGAAGTAGTGTTGGACTAAGCTTTGGAGAGGGGAGGATTTGACATGCAGAAGATGAAGTAAAGGGAGGGGAGAAATAGGAGGAACAGGGCTGGATTTGGGATGGGGTGAGCAGGATTCTTCTATTACCCTAAAATTTAGAGTATCCCAACACTCACTAATTTTTCTGCCTGCTTCTATTATACTGCAAGTCTGTCAGGTGGTAACTATGATCTGCTTACCCTTGTGGGTCTGGCACCACAAATGCTCCCAGAGTAAATGAGCAACTGTCAGAGACACTGCTTATGGAGAGGGCAGGGCTCTTGCAGTGTCCCCTTCACACCTTTTGCCTCAGCTTCTGGATAGGTGCATCTTCCTGGAGCTTTTGCAGCAGAAGTGGTTGACATCCTGAGGAGCACACTTCCCGTGACACCAGCGCCCTGCTTGTCCATGCTGCCCTCGCTGCCCCTCTGCCCTCCCTCCTAACTGCTTCCTTCCACCCCACAGCAGTACTCTCAAGGAGGATGATGTGGTCTCTCTTGGAGAAGTCTCCCTTCCTGCCAGCCCTGGGAGTGCTTTTGAAGTGCCTGTACCGGCTACAGAGCTGTCTTCTCCGCTGAGTGGGGGCATTTGGCAGGCAGGGGTGCTTTTCCCGTATCTGACTTTATTAGAACAAAGCCGCTGCTGCAGTTTGTAGTTCCATTGTAAGAATTCCCTACATAAACAGCTAATAAAGAGAATCAGCTGGAATCTTATTTAACCCTAACAATAACATGCTGTAGGAGGGTTGTATTTAGGCTCTCTCTTGAAGTAGCTGAAGAGTCTGAGGCACATAGAGGGTTTGTGTCCTACACAAATCAACTTGGCCAATTGGGGGCAAGTGCGGATGATTCCCCTCCCTCCTGGATGGGCTTATATATTTCACTGCATGGCCTCCTTGGGCAGCACCAACATGGGCCACACTTTGATTCCTGTTCCAACTGTCTCTTCCCAGCTAAGGAAAGAAGTTTTCTCTCCTCAGCGCTATTTTCTACAAGTACCACATAAAACAGCCTTCTAAAACTGTACCCTCTGCAGTTTCTACAGGATGTTAAAAGGACTAGGGAGCACTAAGTACATGTGACAGCACTGATTGATTCATTGGCTCATTTACCTTGTCTTCATATAGCTTACTCCACTGATAAATTCACTGACTGACTCCCTTAATCCTCTAGCATGATAGAGGACCTGTCTACCTTGCACCAAGCCCTGGCCTACATGCTGGGGATACAAAGACACGAGATGCATATAGCCCTGCATCCCGAGTAACAGTCTGTTGGACTCGACTTAGCAAAGTCATAGGAATATGGGAGTCACAGGAATAGATACAACTCCAGGTGCTGTCTCACCAAATCTGGGGCCCCAAGCAGCTGCAGGCAGTGGGCAGAGTTCTGGGTTGCTGATGTGGCTGCTGGACGTGACTCATCTCTGCTCCCCTCTCCAGGTATCATTATTATGATGACACTGTGCGACCAGGTAGATGTTTATGAATTCCTCCCATCCAAGCGCAAGACCGATGTGTGCTACTATCACCAGAAGTTCTTCGACAGCGCCTGCACGATGGGTGCCTACCACCCTCTCCTCTTTGAGAAGAATATGGTGAAACATCTCAACGAGGGCACAGATGAAGACATCTACCTGTTCGGGAGAGCCACACTGTCTGGCTTCCGGAGCATTCACTGCTGAGCACGTGTCCCTGGCCAGGCACCTTCAGTCTTCTCCATCAGTTGTCTTATGGCTGATCTCCTGGTGACCTCTCCTGGGAGGAACATTTTCTTCAACAGTCCCAGCTTGCTTCTTATACTCTAGGACGTTTTCAGCAGAGCTCTGGAGCGTCCAGGGCCTGATGGCAAAGAACACAGCCTTCCTTGTAGCCACAGAGTTTGGGGCCCAGCCTCCTGCCACACACACATGGATGCACATGCTTAGCACTCATTCTAGACAGCATCTTCTCCTTCCACACAGGTAGGGGCAAGATCCACAGAGCTGCCAAAGCTAGAATCTGTTTTTCCTAACTAAACGATATCATTCTTACAAACTAGCACTCTCTGTCACTTGAAATCTCTACCTAAGTATTGATTTCACATCTTAAAGAAACTCTTCCCAAATCATGATTTGTGCCAGATGCAGGGTGGTGGGGGTTGGGGGTGGGGGGCAAGCAGTTGGTACAGGACATAGATGCATGCCCATTTACTCCAGAGTAAAGTTGTTTCCAAGTACACTCCCCTGTAAACATAATTCTGTCACTACTGACTGATTGGGTTGGTCCTTGGCCTGGGTGCTTAGGACTGTCCCACTTCCCTCTCCACGTGAAGAAAAGTACAAGACATCTGTTTCAACTTGCTCACAGTTGAGTAAGAGACAGACACTTAATAAGCAGTTAGAATATAAACATTCCATGTGCTCAGTGAATTGGGCCGATGGAGAGGTGGCTACTGTCTGTACCCAGGAGGAGCCAACTCTTCCATATCTTCTTAGAGCTTGTGACATTGGAGCAGGTCTTAGCAGAGGAGGAGAAAGTTGCCAAGGCATTTCATCTGAGTTCTAAGAGCTGTGCTTTCCTTTCCTCCTTTATTAGCAAGGCTATGTTCTGTATATTCAAACTTGTCTGAAAATAGAGACTCAAGATGCTTGTTGAGGAAGCCCCTACCCATGTTGGCGCCATGTGCAGCTCCACGTGACTACTGCAGGCTTGGTTTGGCGTGTACTGAACTCTAGCTCCTCTTTTTAATACCTACTCCCAAACCACCTTCTAACTTCTGTCTTTATTTTCTTTAAAGTAATCTTCCCTTCCCAAATTACTTTTACTCATTTTCTGCTTGACAAGTATCCTGACCCCAATTTCTTTGACCTTATGGGCCTTCCATTGAAAGGTCTCTCAGGGAATGGGGATAATGGAGGGACTTAGGTCAGAATCTTAATCATAACTGAGTCTTATGAGGTGTGAGGTATGTGATATCAGATTGTTGTGCCCTCCACTGGCTCCCTGCAAGGAAGTGACATCAGTCTCTGGGCAGGAATCACCCACTGTGGTTTGTAAGCCTGCTCCCCACATGGTTCTGCTAAGCCCCCTCCTGTGGTGGGAAACCACATGGGCCCATTCAACCCCTGGTATGGAGTGGTTAAACGACTTGTTCAGGGTCAAAAAGTAATGTTAGTACCAGAGCGCCTAGGCAGAGACCACTGGGTTCTCAGTGCTGGTGCCATGTGCTCAGAGGGCTTCAGTGTTTGAGCTCCGGTCAGCGGTCTTAGAGCTGGGACACTCTTACTGCTGACCCCATGCCTTATATGGACAATAGAAGGCTCAGAGTGAGAAACTTGGGTTTTCGGGTTGATCCCTCTCCTGTGCCACTTTATGATAATTCTCTTCTTCAAGCCTTTGTTTCCATATTTGTAAAATGGGGTGACAGTTCTACCTCACAGGGCTCTGTGTGGACCACAGGAAAGCACCCGGCCTGGCTGTGTCCCTAGTGCGTAGGAAGTAGGTACCCAGCTTTCCTTCCTTTCTGTTCTGTGATCACACCTGTGCTGGACTTTACTGTAAGACAATGGTGAGGAGGAAAAGGGGTCCTTTGTGTTGTGAAGCAACTAGCCCATTTGGAACACCCAGGAAACCATAGGACAGATAATGTAGCGCATATTCCTTCTTGCCACCTGCCACTCAGGTCTGCTTCTGTCTGGGAGTGGGCCAAGTATTCTGACTGCTTGGCTGCTCTGTGGGTTAACTGGTGAATTCCTGGCTCACCTTATGCTCTGATTTCACATGCTTCTTATAATTCTGTCACGACCACGGAATACCTAGAAGCTGGCATTCTGTCAGCAGGAAGCGCATGTTGGTATAGAGACTGAGACTACACTGGGTAGATTCTATTCTAGTTTTTAATAACTATTATTAATGTGGAAGAATAAATTAATTTAAGTATAATATGATTCTGAAGTCTACAAAACCTTTATGTGCTCTGTAAATGTGGAAATCTTGGTAAACTGAAAATGTTATGTTGCTGTTACTGTTAATTTGGTGAGATGTTTAGTATTTGTTACAGGTCATTTAAAATCTGTGACTGAATGCTGCAAGAAAGCTGCTGTCTACATAGGCTCTGGCTTCACGCTAGATCATGGGATCAGCTCTAATCTTTCTAATCAAATCTGCTATTGCTCTTGGTTTGGAGTTTTGAGACACTGGTCTCAGAAACTTCTGAAACATATCTAAGCTACTTCTAAATCACCCAAAGATTATGTAAAATTTTAAAATAAAGGTCTTTTAAAAAACTGCCTCTTCATACTGTTTTGGGATCACCGTCACCACCTCTCGTGTTACGAGAGGACGCAATGGGAATGCTGAGCCTCCAGTCCTCTCCCTTGAGCTCTCTGGCCTCGGCCTTCCTCTGTAGGCTTCCAGGGAAAAGTCTGCTTGTTTATTTGGAAGGACAGAACCTTGGAACTATTGATGGGTTTATTGATAAGTCTTCCTTTCACTCCTGCTAGATTCAGATAACTAAGCTTTGGTTCATCCCGTTGCCTGAAGAAAGAGAAGACCAGGATGCAGAACGAAAGGAGAGCTTTTTCTTTGGTTTCCAGAACCCTTACCTCTTAAGGGAGCAATGGTTCAAGGAAATGGCCAAGTGTTTGTATAAAAATGCTGAAGAAGAGCAGGATTTGGGTGGGGGCAAAGATGATTTCTCATCTCCCTAAACGCCTGCTCTCAAGATAAGTGTGCCTCCCCAAATTCTTACACTGAAGTCCTAACCCTAGCACCTTAGAATGCAACCTCATTTGGAAATTGGATAATGCAGATCCAATTATTTAAGATGAGGTCATCCGGGATAGGGTGGGGCCCCTGCTCCAGCATGACTGGTGTCCTCATAAAAAGGAGCAATCTAGAGACGGGTGCACATGGAAAACACCATGTAATGATGAAGGCTGAGGTCAGGGTGTTGTACAAGCCAAGGAATGCCGAAGATTGCCAGAAAACCCCCAGAAGCTGGAGAAGCCACACGGAGCAGCTTTTTCCTCATGATCCTCAGAGGAACTGACCTTGATCTGGGAGTTCTGGCTTCTAAAGCTGGGAGAAAAAACACTTATGTTGTCAAAGCCACATGTTTTGAGGTACTTTCCACATTATAGCCCCAGCAAATCAAACCTAAGGTCTTCTCCTCCACCCTCCCTTCACTCTCGCTTTTGTAGCCCCAACTGCAATCCCCTTGGACACTGAGGTTTTGACAGGCCTCTCAGGAAGATGGGACTTTAGGCAACCCTTTTCTGATGATATTCTGAATGAGGGACATCAGACCATATTGACTGGCTGGGGAACACTAAAGACCATCTGTCCCCCTGGTGTTTCACCCTTGGGAACTCCCAGGACTCTTGTGTATCCATGGTCATGGAAAAGAGTTGTTGTCTAAACCCCAGGAGAGTGGGAACTCAGAGTAAAGGGTATAGAAAATAGATTTCAGTTTGGCCAAATTTCCAGTGGCCCTAGGCCTTATGTTCAAGGTTTTTCCCACTAGTCTGGTAAGCCAGTGAGTGGAGGCTGGTCTCTCGTTTCCCATTATGATGTCTGATTCCGTTTTTAAGGTACATGCTCCTTAGGCTCTTGTGAGAAGGAAGCAAGCCTCAAAGACAGAGCTGCACACACCCCTGAACCTCCAACCTCCATCACCCCCCAACACACACACACTAATAGGGCTCTCCACTGACAGCCCAAGGTTCAGGGTCTTAGAGAATACTCTTTGATGTGGTCTCACTAATGCTGAACCCATGCTGGCACCTGGCCTAGAGCAGGGCTAGGATGGGATGAAGGAGTGCCCTGGGTCTCAGGGACTGCCACCTCCACCTCAGTCCCAGCTCCTCATCCTCTGTAGCAGCAGTAGGATGTGTTGCGAGATGATAGGGAGTGATTATGGCTCCAGGATAGTTTTCTCCGCTCTAGGACAGGAGTGCTCTAATCCAGAAAATTCATCCCTGTAGGCTGGAATAGTGGCATTAGTTCAGGAGAAGAAAGGACCTTATTGTTACTCCAGTATGCATCCATGCCCACACCCAGTCCTCAGAATTAATTGGGAAAGAAACTTTCAAAGGAAAGGGAAATTTATTTCAGTTCAGCGAATACATTTTGAGCACTTGCTGTGTGGCTGGCACTGAGAGTCGGTGACAAAGGCTCATGACCACTGCCCCCCAAGAAAGGAAAGCCTGGGAAGATGGGCCTGCCCTGCCTGGGTATGGGTATTTTCTGTAAAGTTAACCTGGATAATAGTACTGTTGTTCTTGAGCCTGGAAGAAAAATATTATACAAATATCAAATGAAGAAACATGGTGATACAGGTCAAGTACAATGAAGCTGAAGAGCAGAGAGAGTCACGTTAACAGGTGGGATCGGCAGGAGTCCCTTTCTCCTTTAACTAAGGACATTCTCTCTCTCTCTCTCTCTCTCTCTCTCTCTCTCTCTCTCTCCCCTCTCCTTTTTTCTTTCTCTTTTTAAAGGCAGGGTCTTGCTTTGTAAGCCAAACTGATCTGGAGCTCCCTATCCTCCTGCCTTAGCCTCTGCGCTGGAACTAACTACAGGTCCCATTGTTTCTCCCTTTCACTGTCTTCCCTTAGGGGTTCATGGTTTTCTGTGGTGGCCTGCTTTGAACCTGCTTTGAATCTTTTCCTTTGTATATTTCCTTTATATATTTGAATAGTTTGTACTTTCATAATAGGCTTTGGTTTTGTAGTTGCCATGAGCCTTATATAAACCTCTTAAGTCAAACTGATAACAACTTAGCTCTAATATCAAGCAAGCTATACATTCATTCTCTCCCCAACTTTCATGCTTTTGATACCATAATATACCTTTTTTTCAGGCTGAAGAAATGGCTCAGCAGGTAAAAAGCAACTCACAGTGGAAGGGGAGAACTAACTCACAAAATTGTCCTCCGACGTCCACATGCACTCATGTGCCGTCCCATAATAAATTTTCTTTTCTCTTTCTCCAAAAATATTTTTCTTTCTTTTTTCCTTTCTTGTATATGTTTATATGTGCGCACACATGTGCAGTGCATATATGTCACAGCACAAGTGTGGTGGTGGACAAAGGAGCACTTTTGGGTGTCAGTTTTCAGCTACCTTGCTAAGGCAGGAACTCTTGTTTTTGCCATGCTGCAACCCCTAGACCGGCTGGCCACAAACTTCCCATCTTATCCCTGGAGTTCTGGGGATGCAGTTATGTGCAGCCTAATCCAGCTTTTTAAGTGAGCTCCTGGGATTGAACTTAGTAAATCAGGCTTTCAATGTCTTTCATTATGAATTTCCAGCCAGTTAGATGTAGAAGATATATATCTTGCATCATAGAGGCCATATTTAAAAAGTCTACAATGAAAATTACGTACAATATATACATATATATATATATGCACACAGAAATAAATAAAGCCTTTCTCTTAAGATGTGAAACAAGACAAGGTTGCCACTCCTGCTACTTCTTTTCAACACAGTACTGGAAATACTTCACCAAAATGGACCTGATAACCCATTCAGAAGCAATTCAGTATCCTTTCTTGATAAAAAATTTCAACAAATCATTCAATTTTATATCCATATCTTCTTGTAGTTCTGTCTTTCTTTAAGAGAATTCATCATCAGTAATTTTATATATTTCATTTTCTTCAGGATCTGCTGTTTAGAACTTAATTATTTCTGCCGGCAGTGTTCTTTTTCTCTTATGTCCTGCCATAGGTGTCCACATTGAAGGGACTGCAACCCTCTTCAGCCTCTGCTCCTGTTCTTTGATGCCGATAGACCTTCACTCAATCCTTTATCCTTTAATTCTTGTGCTAGTTAGTGGCCCACAACTTAGCTATTGTAGGCCTTTGTTGGGTAGGCAGCCTCCAAAAAGTTAGAGCTGACCGGGGGACGGGTCTAGAGACCTAGTGAGAGATGCTGAGAAATACTGAATGTCCTGGGAAAAAGGGGAGGGGTAACTGCCGTTTTGGACACAGGGAACAGAGCAAGGACCACACAGACTGAGTGGCCTTGGTGGCATGGATCTCAAAACTTAGCCAAATATAGAAAATGGGCATGGGACTTTGTAAGTCACCCGTTCCTGAATGTCATAAACTAGGCAAAACCCAAGTGAGGGTGTTCTGTCGGTTTTGTCAGGCCTGGGACCTCAGAAGGTGCACACCCAGGGGGTCTCCCGAGGAGGGGGAGGGGAATTTGGTGAAACAGCCTTGCTAATGTGTTCTTTACTTGAGTTGGACCATAAACTGGTATGGGGTTGATTTCAACTGCTAGCTGTACTCACCAATCCAGTGAGGCTTAGAACTCTTTAGTAAGACAGCTTCCCCACCAGTCTGAGAACCGTATGTTGTATGCACTCTGCAACAGCTTCTGATTGGGCAGTGCTACATGTTGTTTTCCATTTGGGGATCAGCTGGATGGGGCCTGCGTTTGGGATTACAAAGGTGAGCAAGTTCTCTGACTTCATTACTTAACTACTCAGTGAACAAAATCAAAGTCTGGACTCCACATACGTGTGTGGGTGTGGACTTTCCTTCCATCCTGGAGTAGTCTTAAAGCAGTACACCAAACCTTGGTACTATGGCTGCTTCACCATTGGGCCTGGGCAGGGCTAGATGCACCCTCTATATTAAATTACTGCTGTAATCCTGCTTTCCCATTTCAGAAAGGTTAAGAAATGTACAAATGCTTGGTTGAGTTAAAGCTTGACAACTGGCTTTGGGCAGGCACAGATGTTCCTTCTGTGAATAATGACTAACTTGGCCCTATTTCCTGGCCTGAGAAGGTTTCAAGGTGAGCAACAGGGCTGGATGTGGAAGGCAGACAGAGATGTGAGCCAGAGAAAACCATTGACTACTCTGAATTCAACCATCACTCTGAAGTGATGCTGCTGGCTTGTTTCCCTGGTAATGTGAATGCAAAGCAGCTGCCAAGATCCCTGTGCTGGTCACGGAGCCTACCACTGTTCTTCGTCTCCAACTGAGCCCTGGTGTTCTAGCTCTGCTGACTTACCCAATGTTTCCCATGAGGCAAGGCCAGAGAGTGACACCTCCAAATGGTTCCAGAATTGTGGAGAGTTGCAGTTTGCCTCTAATTCTCTTCTCCCTCTGAAACAGCCTTGGGAAGCAAGAATCCTCTGTGTGTAGCAGTGCAGCAGCTTGGAAGGTGCACAACACAGTCAGGGCGGAGCTGCTCCTTCTTCACTTTGAATGTGGCTGCTTTCAGTTTTGTGGTGAAAGGGGGTGTCTTAGCCTCACTTCTGGGTTTTGGCTAGT